CACAATATTCCAGAGCTTGAGGTCATCAGCAAACAATAGCAACGGTACTCCAAGCTCCTGGAGTAGGTCATTAACATAAATTGCGAAAAGCAACGGCCCTAGAACCGAGCCCTGCGGAGTCCGCGTAGGGGTGGGTGTCCTCGCGGTATGCTCAACCCGCGCGCGACGTGGCCGCGCGGCAGCGGAGCGCCGTTACGGCGTACAGCTGACACATTATTATTATTGTTATTACAGCATGGAACGACTGTAGGAAATCGGAAATCCAAGAGGGAAAGTTTCCAGTGACGCCGATTCCCGGCCCCCATTACTAACCTTCCTTCTATAATTCCCAGCTTAATTGACAGCAACCGAAGTGCTACTGGAGTAGAACCATCTGCAGCCACCATCCCACAGCACCTATCGGCAAAAGTCCCTTATAAGGCCACGCTGTCCCGTTTCCATGGCGACGTTCAACGTTCACACTCTAAGACAAACAGGTCAGCAGGCTGCACTCGCACGCACCTTGGACACACTGGGTGTTGATGTGTTGTGTGTCCGAAACTAGGGTTAATGACCCTAACGGGGTTATTGAATTGACTGCACCAGGCTTATCCTCTCGTTATTGGTTGCACGCATCCGGAGACGCCGATGCGGCACTCAATGGTCAAGCTGGTGTAGGTATCATTCTCAGCTCCAAGGCTGAGTCATCGTTGGTTGATTGGATTCCGGTGAACAGCCGTTTATGCACAGCCCGTTTGACGACATCAGCTAAGGTGAATTCGCGAAGTAAAAGAAAACGCTGTATGTTTGTGATTTCTGGTTATACTCCCACGGACTGCAGTTCTAATGCAGTCAAGGACACTTTCTATCACGAACTGAACACGCTGCTACGCAGTGCTTCTAGTTCAGATATTATAGTGCTTGCAGGGGATATGAACGCACAAGTAGGGCGTCTGAGCTCTTCAGAAGCTCAGCTGGATGGTAAGTATGGACTTAACTCCGAACGGACTGACAACGGCGAGCGTCTGCTGTAACTGTGTGCGGAGCACCAGTTGTTTCTTACTAGCACTGCTTTTAGACACAGTGGGCGCCGAAGTGCCACTTGGTGTCCACCTGTAGCTGGTCAGCGATGGACCCAAATTGACCACATAGCCATAAGTTACAGGTGGCGCGGTTCCATTCTGGATTGCCGCTCGTACTGGAGTACCTGTGTCGACTCTGATCATGCCTTGGTACGCTGTCGTTTCTCCATGAACTTTACCGGAAGGCGCACAAAGTGTCTCCCCCGATTGGCAACGGAGAAATTGTCCCAGCCCTCTGTCGGGCAAGCCTATCAAGAAGCACTGCATAGCGAACTCTCGCTGTCTTGTCCTAATGATACTGAACTTCAGTGGAATAGGATCTCCGCCACTATGCACGACGCAGGAGCATCTGCTTGTGGCACTATCAGTCGTCATCGCACCAGTCACTGGTTATCCGAGAGGTCCGTGAACCTTTTGGAAGCTACAAGGCACCTCCCGGCTGGTTCTGAACACAATGTGACCAGACGGGCCATTAGGCGTGAACTAAAGCAGAGCCTACGTGCTGACAAGGAAGCCTGGTGGACCAGGCGGGCTCAAGAAATGGAGGAGGCGGGAGCAGTAGGCAATTACCGGAAGCTCTTCCAGCTAATACACACCACTGGTCCGAGAAAACCAGGCGTCAGTGAGACAGTCAGAGACAGCGCGGGTGCGCTGATACACAATAAGGAGTGCCGTATGGCTCGTTGGGCTGAGCACTTTGAACATCAGTTCAGCTGGCCCCCTGCTCCCGGACCTCTTCCTACTCAGGTGATGCAGGACGAGCCATGGACGGTTAGTTTAGAGCCTCCGTCGGAGGCCGAGGTCCGAAACGCGATCACAGCCCTCAATCGTTTTCGTGCCGCTGCCCGGATTCCCTACCACCTGCACTATTTAAGGATGGAGGTGAGGTCCTCTGCAAAGCATTGACCTCCCTATTCGAACGTATCTGGAACAAAGTGTGCCGGTTAATTGGAGCGAATCGATTATAGTGGCAATATACAAGAAGGGCAGTCGCACAGACTGTGCGAACCACAGGGGTATTAGCCTAACGCCAGTTGTGACAAAATTACTGGCCTCGATTCTCGTTCGTCGCCTCACTGCAGAACGGGAATCTCGGATAAGAGAAGAGCAGGCCGGTTTTCGCCCAGGACGTGGCTGTATAGACCATATATTCATTTTGCGGCAGGTGCTAGAGCAGCGCCACGCATACCGCAGACCGACAATAGCTGTGTTCCTCGATTTCAAGAGTGCGTTCGATTCAGTCGATCGATCGATTCTGTTCGAATTACTTGCGCGAAAAGGTGTTCCCACGAAATATGTGAACATCCTTCGTGCTCTATACTCGAACACTAGAGGCCGCGTCAGGATCTATGGTGCGCTATCGGATAGCTTTTCGACTACAAGTGGCGTTCGACAGGGTTGCCCGATTTCCCCGTTTTTGTTCAATTTCGTTGTGGATTCTCTATCACGGAGTGTTCCCTTGCCGAATCTCACGATGTAGGTGTTGAAGTGCTGCCTGGTGAACGGTTAGTTGATCTAGATTATGCGGACGATATCGTCTTGCTTTTCGACAATGTTGAGGCAGCACAATCAACCCTGAATAGCCTATCCAGAGTGGTCCCATTATTTTTAAGCATTTCGCACCTTCAAAGTGCAAAGTGTTGCTGCAGGACCATTAGCCACTCGATGACCCCTTGACGCATGCTAACGAGGAACTCGAGGTGGTTACTCATTTCACTTATCTTGGCAGCTGCATCAGCAATGATGGGCGCATAGAAACTGACGTGAACTCGCGCATTGCAAAGGCCAGAGCTGCCTTCTTGAACCTGCGTTATCTTTGGCGACAGAAGGGAGTTTCCCTCCATCTGAAAGGCCGTGTATACAAGGCCACAGTGAGCCCCGTTCTGCTCTATGGTAGTGAAACTTGGCCCCTTCGGTCTGAAGATCTGAGGCGCCTTCAAGTCTTTGATCATCGTTGTTTGCGAAACATTGCTGGTGTCGTATGACACCAGCGTGTCCGCAACGATGATGTGCGTAGGCGAGTACTAGGTGGTGATGATCATGCTAGCTCCCTAGAACAACAGATAGCACTGAATAATTTGCGTTGGCTCGGGCACGTGCTACGCATGCCTGGTCACCGCTTACCTAGGAGGGCCTTGTTCAGTCTACCAGGTGTCGGATGGCGCAAGGCTCGAGGTGGACAGAAGTTGACTTGGCAGCGGGAAATGAGGTCACTGACAACCAGACTGGGTGCCGTTGGTCCGTCTCGCCTTCCGGATTGGAGTCCACGTGACTCACCTTGTGCTTGGCTCGAGACTTTACAGGACATGGCTCGCAACCGACACCAGTGGCGCGTCTGCTGCCGTCTCCTAATCGGATTGTCTGTTTAAAGTGTGTTTGGTGCTGAGTTATCTGCGGGGTAATGGCTGATTATGACGCGTGGCAGTGAAAGCCGCAAGGAAGCTGTCTCGCCGATGCCGCCTTATCTTTGCACGATAGCCAGCTGTTTGTGACGGTATGTTGTCTACACAAGGTGTAGGCGC